CCATATTTTTCGCCAATAGTCTTTTACTTCTTTCGCTCTCTCGATATCTTCATCAAAGAGGAATTCGAGAGGATTTTGAAAATATTTTTCATTGGTTTTCGGAGTTCTAAGCAAGTGGAATGCACTATATTGGCAAAATAATGGTGCTTATTTTGATTAAAAACTGATTTGATTTTAAAAATTTATGGCCTATCAACGACGCAAAAACACCCAACTTTTTGAATGATCCAGCTATACTAATATGACAGCAATAATAATGAATAATAAAATTATTCATTAAAAAAATTACTTCAAAAAAATCGGATTTTAATAATAGCAATAAAATAATCGAGCGGATTATTTTTCAAAAAAACGATAGTGGCGTTGGCGAGATTCCGTATTTCATACTTAAAGGCCTTATCCATTTTCCCTATAACTCAGCTATAAGCAAAATAATAGTATGGGGATTTGGTGTAAAAGCAAATTTCCTTTTATTTTGCATTAAATTATAATCGTTTAATGAAGATTTTTCAAGATATTCAAATGCATGGAAATAAAGCATTGAAATTTTTTTTAAAACTTATATATTATTAAATAATTGGGAAATTCAGGGATTTTTTCGAAATGAGGATTCTATAAGGATTAATTTATTAATTAATTCCCAGCAGGAGTAAACCTGTTCGAAATCCGGTGATGCTGGCAACTCACCTGTATTTCTATCGCCAAAGGACTCTCTGGCATATTTGTCGAATAGCGACAAGGCAACGGAGCGAGTTTAATCAGTAATGGCGAAAACTCGCTCAAAAAAAAAGTATATGCCAGAGAAAAAAAAAGTTATTAAAAAAAGAGAAAGAAAAAGAGAAAAAATGAAAAAAGTTAAAAGAAAGAAGAAAAAAAAGAAAAAATAAAAAGAAAAAAAAGTGAAAAAAGTTATTAATTACTTATTTTTTTATTTTGCTCCAGCTAAAGGAATCCATCATATTTTTTCTATTTTTTATTAAAAGTGTGCTTCGATTGTTACTGTACATCCACCTATTCCTCCACTCATAAGCGACTCTCTGGTGAATTAATAGGCAAAAAATATTCTAAAAGCTAGTAAAGCTAGCAGCCAGACCAGAAAGCTCAGAATTCGAACTGTTTAAATGGAATATTTCTTTCGGCTCATCGCCACGATCAGTTTGGCGAAATGGGATTTTTTCGAGACATCAAATAGTAAATAAGCTAGAATATAGTTAATCTCCGAATTTCATAATTATCTAAAGAAGTATTATTTTCACTGAAATACTTTTACTCGTTCACTCCTTCATTTACAGATAAATTATTATTTATATTATTACTTTTAAAATGTATATTTTAGATTCTTTTCGACATAAAGATTGATATAAATTAAATCGTTCAACGTTAAAATATATCGCGAACACCTAATAAATATAATAAAACCACCTTACGTTAAATTTACATAATATAAATATATGTAATATTTAATATTTTAATATATATATATGTATAATCCATGAAATACCAGAGGCGAAATAGAAAAGATGTGGAAAGTGAAGACCAAAGTAATGGCAGCGATAATTGGAAATTGCGACCCTGGAAAAGTGGTTCCAACAGATTCCAGGAGCACCAGAGATCTCTGTTCGGATGAGCTCACTGCTAGGGATTGCGCAGAACTGTCAGAACCGTCAATCCCCCAGGTCTCTGGTAGAAAACTCAAGGTTGAAGAAGATCCTTAGCACTAAGAGGAAGGTGAAAAAGAAATTTCGTTTTTCATCTTTTTGGAGAGGGGTAAAGTGCCTCAGCGAGTTGTTGCTTTCACTTTGAAGCTCCGATGTTAGAGTATTTTTGCCAGAATAAATCTGTTTTACTATTTTTCAAAAATGCTTATGGTACTAGCGATCTACCCATGGTCTATCACCAAATCACTTCTTCACAAAATTTGTCTGGTCCGACAAACCAGTGAAATGAGCCTGAATAGAAATGGTGAAAGCTTTTAGAAAATATATAATATGGGTTTATTTATATTATATCAATTATATCTTTAACATGTTGAATTCGATTGCAAGAATGAATAGCATGTTGCTTCTTCTTAACCTGTGATTAAAAATCACTTTAGATCCAACTGTTTTCAGTGGTCCTCTGATGAAAATCTGAAAGCCGATGCAACAAACCACATTAGAAATAGGCTAGCAGAAGAAAAAAAGAAAAATTAAAAATATTTTAAAAGTGAAGTGTAGTATGTCAAATTTGGCAAAAAAATTTTGCTTATAAGTCTTAGAAAAAAGAAAAAGGAAAATGATGAACAAATAACTAAAACATTATCATAAAAAAGTGATATTATCATTATAATAAAGTAATATTATTAATAAAACTATAATATTATTGTCGTGTTGCTGTTGCATATATCGCACACATATTCTATTATAACCGCTTAAAGGATATTTTCATTCGTTTACTGTATAATTATTTTGCAAATGAGCAAAATTACCGAAATAAAAAATGCGAGAGACGAAAATTCGTCGAATTTCATTTAAAAATTTTTCCATAAATTTCGTATTTATTAAAATCAATTTGAAATCTGACAAACAAAGCTTTATTTCTATTTTTGTTTATACTATGTAATCATTTCTAGGTTAATGTTTATTTATTCAAAGTTTATTCATTTATTTCAAGTTTATTCATAAATTATACACGTTGTCTATAAGAGTGATATCCTTCCTATATATGTATATATATTTTGAGAGTCCATTACTGGTTAAACTTCCTCCCCTGGCTTGTCGCATTGTGCAGTATCCTTTGGCGATAGAAATACAGGTGAGTTGCCAGCATCGCCCGGATTTTTGTACAGGTTTACTCTTGCAGGGAATCGAATCTCAGCATCAATTCTCCCAACTGAACAATAACCACATTCTACTCCGGTATCATATATAATACTTTATTTCGCTGTGCCTAAATAGATGAAAATAAATTTCGAGGAAGGGTTGGAAAAAATGAAGGCAAACAGCAGTAATGAATAGAAATCTTTGTATGATAATTATAATTATAGTAATTATAAATGTTTGGTGCTAATAAATTATGAGGTCTAATGGCTTGCATTTTATATTAAATAATGTTAACTATTTTACGATATTACTAATTTTTTATGATAAATTCTTATAATCCAATGCTAATAATTGAGGAACTGATGTAATTTGGTATTTCCCAAGCATAAATGCTTGGATATCCTATAAGTCGAGAACATGTAAAAATCTCACCACTTGCAATTACTGGTAAAGTTTTAGCTCACTTGTTTTAAAAAGGGCTCTTAAATTAGGTTTTTAGATGCGTAAAGGAAAGCAAACAGTTAGAATTATTGCATAGCGGTTAAAAAACGAAATAGTAAAAAATCTTTCACACAATTTGATAGCCAATTTTGACCGATATTAAAACATTTTGATTTCTAATTTTAATAAACTCATTAACTGATTGAATAACTCGAATAATTGGCGTGAAACTTCGCCGAATAACAAGTGATTAGATATTGTTTTCAGTAGGATAAAAGACTTGCTCAATAAGTTGATCACTAATTGTGATGATTTCGCATAATAAATCATCGTAATGGGTCCTGATGACCTTTATTTCAGCAGCATTTCCATAAACCATTAATTTTATTACTTTGACCAGATAATAACAAATCATATTTGCACTTTCTGGCCAATAACCAAAGAAAGACCTGCTATGCGATAACACGTTTTGCACGTTAACTTCATTGTTGATCTGAATGGTTTGCAATTCATTGTAAAAAAGTTAAAAAGTATTGTTCTCTTTCGTCTTCTAACTTTTTAGCTTTGAGGCCTTTTGTGGTTTTTTCAAGAATCTTAGCATAAATTACACAACCATACAGTTTGTCGGGAATTTTATTTGTGATAAGTTCTTTGAAAAATTCATTTAAAATATTTAACCAATGGAATTCACAAAAAATCTTCACGAAAGAACAAATGCAGATGACAGGAAAAATTTCATGCGTAAAGATAGATCTATAAATTGTCCAATTTTTATTATTTTAATTAAAATTATTTATAACTTATGCCAAAATTCAGTATAAAATAAAATATGAAATAAGATATTACAAAATTAACTTTTTAAATACAATTGACAGAAAAATTTACTAAAAAACAAAAATATAAGGAAAATAAAAAATATAATCATGACAGCCTTTGCGTGAGAAAATTTATCCCAAATAGCAAATAAATTATTTCCTTCCATAATTTATTCAAATAAGTATTTGCAAGTAAAATCTAAGTAAAAAGATTTTATTTTGTCGAAATTTATTATCACTTCACAACAAAAATTTTTTAAAAATACATATTTGTTAGTTAAAAGAAAGAAAAAAATAAAAAAATTACAATACTTTTGCAGTGAAAGAATTAAGAATTTTGGAATTAGAACACGGATATTTACGAATAGAAAAAGTCAAATATAACATCCAACCAAATTCGGTGGCAGAAATTCGGCTTCTTAAGCGTTTCATCTTTGAAATGGTACTCGAAGCTATTTCAGTAAATCAATTCGAACTTCAGGAACAAATCTCTTTAAAAATATATATCTAGTTTATTGGAATAACTGCGAGTTCCACCGCTTCCAGAGATTTTAAAATGTGATTCTCTCGTCGCAGTTTTAAAAACGACAGAAAACGACAAACGACTTGTTGGCAGAAAATTTTTTAATATAGCATCACAAATTTTTTTAAAAAAATTCATGTCTATTAGAAAGACGAATAATGAAAAAAAATTGGAAAAGTCCAACTGAAACAGAAATTGCTTATAAAGCAATTACAGTTACGAACCAAATCTACTTTTAAAGAATTATGAGATCTACGGAGTTTTAGCTTAAAATTTCCTATCGAATAATTGTTGCCTAATATGCTGAATTAATCTAAAACTGTACACATACTTTCCCCTCTTTACTCAAATGCCTTGCAACTGTCTTGCTTGTTTCAGAAGAAATAATCGGTCGAGAATTCAGAGAAAGAAAAAAATACTTCACACATCTGTCCCAGATTCAGAATTCGGTAAAGAAGATTTGGCATGATGATTCTTTATAAAATATACAAAAACAAAAGCGCTAAGTACAATTAGCGCAATTGCACCAACTCCAACTGCGATCAGTGGCCAAAGTATGACTGATTTTTTGCCATTGATAATCAGCGAGGTTTCAGTTACCACCGACTTGCATAAACCATTTTCGTATTGATAATCTTGAAATTGCAAAATTTTCTTTCCAGTTGTGGCAATTAAAAACTCAATTAACAACTTTAACTACCGGCACTATTTTATGATTTTAAGAATTCTTTGAATATGAGAGAAAAAAATTAAAAAAATAAATAAAGAAATAATACTTGCAGCACATTTGTTGCAATCGTTTCCATCCCATCTTTCCTCGCATATGCATCTATTTTCGGAAGTTATGGTACCATGAATACAAACTATTGGCGAATCACAGAAGGGACCAGTGTAGCCTATGTCACATAAGCAAAAAGTTTCATCCTGAAATGCTTATGTGATCTAATAATTCAAATTATTCTTATGACACTGGAATATGAGCAAAATATTTCAATAAGTCAAAGAAAGATTAAAAAGTGCAACAATGCACGTGGACTGATTGTATAATTGGAAATTAGCAACCAGTTCGTGCTGCTGCTTAGATCAGAATTTCCCTATTATTATGCTTGCTTGATGTGGTGCTCAACAATGTCAAACCTGCTTATAAAAAATCCACTTCATCATGAACTGGTTGCTAATTTAATACTCATGTAAATATTTTATCAATGAGCAGAGAAGACTTAATCCGAAGCAATGGATGCTGATGAAGCGAAAAGTTAAATAATTCGAATAGTAATGAATCTCGTCTATTCTATTTTAAATCTTATCTATCTTTATTCTTTAATCTGCCTTCGATAGCTGCACATGCATTCTCAGTTTAGAAATAGATTTTAAACTATTGGACGTCTTATTTCGATAAATCCTAGAAGAAAATTTATAGAATCCATAAACGATTTAAAAACAAAATAACTTAGATTATTCATTCGAAAAAGATTAAAAAATACAACAATAGGGAATCTGTGTTGTGAATTCGAATGTTCAAACAACGCCTGAGGCATTACGCCTGAGAATATATTAATTTCTTAATTATGCAATTCGCAATTCAGTTGAGAATTCGTCCTTAATGACATATTCACGCGAATAGATTATTAATCTATCCTTTTAATATCGGTGCTAAAAATTATTTTAGATACGATTTCTAAATTATTTATGTCCATAATCTTAGTGCAGATTGCACTACATAAGATATATTCAAGTAAAAATGCCAATCATTCATTTGAATATCCATGAAAGAAGTCAGTTATTTAGCCCGTTGCAAGTGATGTTTTTTGGCCTTTCTATATTTACTATCCGTCTTCCTAAGAACATCTAATTTCAACAAGTTAAAAAAATGAAATCTTGAATGAAATCGTTTGACTCGGGATGCCCGAATATGTCTGACTGCAAGCCATTATAGAAATGCTGCTTTAATCGCTGAATCTTAATACGATACGTTAATTAGCAAAAGAAATCAAAGAAACCTAATTTTAGTGAAAGAGGAAAGTTTGAATAAATCTCGTTAATGAAATTTCTTAAACTCAGAGATAATAATCAAAGATCAGACAACGATTAACAATTGAAAATATAATATCCACCCTCAACAACTTCATTCTGGAAATGAATACGAATAATTTTCAACAAAAAAGAATACTCCGCCGCCGACGGTGACTCCATTGTAACACGTTCTCAGGTGACAAAATAAACCTGACCACCGATCTTCACATCTGCATTTGCCGTCGATAAGTGTTCCCTTGCCTTCGATGCAATGTGTCACTTTTTCACAACGTTCACCTGCAAATAATCATTTTTGCTCTCTAATTTTTTTATAATTCGTATGGTTAAGAAATCTTTCAAGAACTATTCTTTTACGCTAATTGAAATATGTCAGATAGGCATATTTACTTTACGAGAATAAAATTGAGTTCACGTTCTACTCAATTAATCGAGCTTTACGAATGTTTGATGTTTGCAAACTTTAAATTTGTTTTTTGGCCAAAAATGTTTTCTGAAAAACCGGAAATGTGGCTAACTTCATACAATTTTTCACAAAAAATATTTGATGCTAAAAATGCGTTCATTTACAGCAAAAGCGATTTAAAAAGTTTGTCTACAAATTCTAATATGTTTAAAAAAAGAAATAAAGAATAAAAGATAATTGAGAAGCTATAATGAGATGAAACATACCTGTTAAGCCATAGGGACAGTAGCACTTATTGTTCAAAAATCCTTTAGCGCGGCGTCCACCATTTAAACAAGGTTCCCTCTCGCAGAAGACTCCTTCGAAACGATCCTGACATCGACAATGACCCTCAAAAAAATGCATTTAAAAAAGAATCGCTGAAAAGTCGAGTCGAATTTCACGAATTTTAATGATGGGTCTTCTATTGACTTATAAGATTTTTATAAAATTTTTATATAAAATTTTTATAGAAGAAGATTTAAAACATTTTAAATTTTAAAAGATTTATTTCAAATCGAAAATTAAAAATATTATGCTAAATCTCTTCAAAAAAATTCCATTTTCAGAAACCTCTTCAGATATTTCAATAATTTTCCAATTTTTGAAACCATATTTTACATTTTTCCCGAATTCCATTGCCAATTATTGAAAGGTAATTAAAAAATAATTAGTTTGATTTTATTGGATCCAAATAATGGAAATATCCAAAATCCATTTTATTTTAATTAAATTTAGTGATTTGAAATTAAAATTTGTAAACTTAGTCGTAATTTTTACTAAAATTTTAAAATTAAAGTATAAATTACACTTTAAATCCAAAACTTAAAATGTGCTGGTGACCCAAACTATATTTTTATCGCTAAAGAAGTCCGTGGCAAAATATACCTGGTCCGACAAGCCAAAGGAGCGAGCCTAACCAGAAATAACTCTTTTAGGAGAGATTACTCAAATAATTTTGTCATAATTTTATTCATCCTTATTTTAAATGTATAAATCAAATTGTATTAAATTGTATATGTTCCATATAAATGTCGAATTTTCCCATTTCCATGATATTTAAATGTTAAAAAATCGAACTTCAACAATTGATCCGCCATTTAAACAAGTAATGTTCATGCTTCGGCTCAAATCACTCACACTGCGGTCGAAATCGACAATACTGGATGCGATAGCTGTTTTAAATGTACATAGTAGATGGATAGCAACTAATAAGGCAAATCGCATGCCAAATATTCTTACAACTGCGCAATTTGTTAATCGTTCCATTGTTCTCTAAAAAATTTTAAATACGATTCGATAAATGGTATCATGTGTTTTGCGTTATTTTAACATTTTTCGATAATTAGAAGATCGCTTATAAATACGCAAGGTCACACGTCCGAAAACCGTCCGAATATTAATCCTATTCGGAAGTCCGGTTTAACTATCAAGGGCTTTCTTCAAAAAACATCACCAATAGAATTTTATCGCAAACTATGGCTATTTTTTTGATGTAATTGTTGCCATTTCTCCATAGTTTAGTCATAGGGGTAATAACAACAAGTCCCTTTCGCATTGCCAGTTCGAGAGAGATGACAATTGGTGGTGCCTTCACTCTCATTCAGATTCCAATTTTAATACTTTTTATTAGTTGGGTTGTATTCTAATAAAAATTCAATATTATGTGCAATTATTCAATATGAAATAATAGTGGATTAAAATTCGTTCAGCTTGTATAGAGCACATATAATTAAAATATTCGCTTGATATTGAGTTTGTATATTCTGCATGATTAGCTTCCGCACTTATAATGTTGCATTATGGGAAGCTAGAGAGACTCTTCCGTTATTAGTCCCTAGCCGAGCGTATCATTCAATTAGTTGGCAATGATGATAGAATAGAATTAGACAATCAAGCAGGATTAGCTAAAAGTAAAGAACCTACGATTTGTTATAGTAGTAAAATTTGAAGAACGTAAGACCATTCAAGTTTTTGATAAGATATATCATATCTTATCTGCGTAGGATTCAGCAGTACCAGAAAAACATGTGAAAATAAAAAACTAATATACCTAATAGCCTCATTTATATTCATTATTAGTACCAGTAGTGCAAGGACAAAATAAATAAAACAGAAGTGAAATTGGAAGTTCAGATCGAAAGCTTTGAAATCAAGCTTTCTCTGTTGAATTAGCCACTATATTTATCAGATCTATTTTAAAATTTTTATTATAATTAAAAGACTACTTATTTTGTAGACATAAATTTATTAAAATTTACAATCAATTTCATTATATTCTTTGTCGATAATTAATTATTAATGAGACATTCTCTTCATATGCTATTGATAATGGGATAAAACCGTTAAAACTAGCCATTTGGCCAAGTTAAAAATTCGCCATTTTGCAAAATTGTCCATGATAAGAAAAAATTTTTTTGAAAACTAAAATATTCGACGAGTAAAAGAGCAAAATAAATAAATAAAAGTATACCGTGAAGTCCTCGTCATCCAGATTTTATGATGTTTAATATCTATCTCTGCCAGTTATAGCCATTAAATTCTTAATGGCGAGGTAGCGAGAAACAATCTTTTGGCTATTCTTTGCACAATTAACGTTCAAAAGGCTGATTGAATTTAAGGTTAATGATATGCTTATTTGAATTGAAAGAATGGAATAATTTTTCCAATGATCAAAAAAATGTATATGAAATTTTAGACCAGCAATATCGACACTGAAATCTCTAAAACTCTATTCTTTTGAATCACGTACATAGAAATATTCTTTCACTTACTGTCGAATTCAATAAAGATCATCAAAAAAGAAATCCGAAGTTGATGGGAAAGTATTATGCTGGGAATTAGCCTTGAAAAAGAAAAAATGTAAAAAAATCAGACTATAATTGCTGAATGAACTATTTATTACGTCGCAATACCGTTACAAAAAGTCAAATTCAACGAACCAAAATAAAAACAACAAAATTTCATGGTTTCAAGCGAATTTTTATGAAACCATAAATGATTCGAAATGACAGATTTTTAAGAGATAAAGTAAGAATCAAGAATTATTTAATTACTCATGAAATGTTTCGGTACTTTACCTTCAAATCACCATTTTTGCCCAAAATCTGTGAATCCGCCTTTATCGACATCCATCCTATAAATATTAATTCGGTCCAATAATTCGGATGTTTATACAGTGTTGTTAGGATATAAAAGGATGAGAAATTTGAGAAGACAGGTGTGAATAGAGTTTATGAAAGAGATTTTAATGAAGGTCGCATCAAATGCATTTCGTGTTAAGCTGAAGGTCGTTTACGATAATAACAAGATAAGCCATTAAAAAACATGCGAGAAAAGTTGAATTTTTTCTTGGAAGCTTAAAATATAAATTGAAAACAAAAAAATATCCTTAGGTGAAATAGAGTGGAGTCAATGGTAAATGAGCGCCGCATGAATCTGCGGAAATTTACAATATAATAATCGCCATTATGTAAGTTCGTAGTAACATTGAGCGATTCTTTTAGAAATAACGATCATCACTAATCCATTGGATTAAAAGGAAGGAGGCGAAATTCTCCTAGAAATAGGTGAATTGCAAATGATCCACTGAAAGAATAATGAGAATTGGCCAATTCATTTACCATTCATAACAGATTTTTAATTTTACCGCCATCAAACGCTAAAAATTTGAAAAATTAAATTCCATCGAACTGTAAGATTATTTTAAATTTTGGATAATCTGAAATTAAAGTTTAGGTAAATAAATTCGTACAAATATTGCAAAATCTACTGTAATAATTTGAAAGAAAAATAAGATGTGAAATGAGTAGATGTGGAGGATTTTCTGTGGATGAAGTACAGCTACTTTCGTTTTAATAAAAACTGAAAACTGAGTCTCTACAAAAAACGATAATGAAGATGGCTTAGTATGGCATCCGCTACTCGTGTCTCGAATATGATAATAGAAATTAAATTTGACCTCGCAGACTGAGAATTCTTAATTTTAGTTAGGGAATCTTCTAGTTAATAAAGATTCCGGAAAAATAAATCTGCTAATCAAATTACATTTCAGCCTTATTCCTTTAATAACCTTCGCGAGAAAAGCAATGACGAAATTTATTTCCAAATATTATATTATATTTTATTACCTCTTCGTTTTCTTACAGCACTTATCATTGCTCGTTTGGTACTTTCCACTAGTTATTAGAGATTCCTTCGCTAAAAGCTCCTTCGTTAAAGGCAGAAGTACAAGTAAATGGCCTCGAAAACTTTATATCTCGAGGATCAAAGGAAACTACACTGACGGTTTCTTTAGTGCGAACGAAATTTAAATTTTGATTCCAACATTCTTTCCATTTTCAATGGATTTTCGACCGGACAATCATGATGGCATAATAAAAAGTAACAATTAATTACTCGAAAGGATAATTAAATTATTTCAACTAGATCTTCAGAGAGAAAATTATTATGCGATTTCATTATGGCAGTGCTGCATAGACTCATATTATTTGCATCCCAGATAAATTTCAAATTGTTCGATTCAGGTAATTGCATCCTCTTTTATACCAGTTTTCAACGAATCCAGAAATTTTTTGCGTTCTATTGGAGAGAATTTTCGCATAAAAATGGCCAAAATCAATTTGGCTATTGCTATATTCCCTGAAAAAAAAATCCCACGTTCAACAAAGATATTTAATACAAAAAAAAGATGCAGTAGATTTTGGATTTTAAGCAAATTTAAGTAAATTTTAAAAATGGAAATTCAAAAATTCAAATTTTATAGATTTAGAATTTATTCCACAGTCTTATTAAAAATTAAATTTCCAATAATTGTAGCTGGCAAAGAATAAGAAAAATTGCATTGCCGCTTCATTCCTATCGGCCAATTCGAATCACTTTAAATCATAAGGTGTATAAGCTTTTTGTCATTGATCGGAAGAACAAATGCACAGCAAGGTCAACAAATAACAATGATCGATGTAATAATATGCCTTACACTAATAATTTGTATCAATCAAATATATGTATTAATCCATTCTTGTCATTATTATTTATGTTTAAAGTAATAATTCGTCAATGTTAATGACAAAATTCTGAAAATAAAATTATTTAATGCGGACTTTATAGTAGTTTATTTAATTAAAGTTATTTGGATAATAATTGTAAAATACTAAAATATTGAAAATATTAAAATTAGAATAATAAATACTAAAAATTCAAGAAGGCCCTTTAATCATTTTATACAAAATGATTAATTATCTTTCCCTCGTTCATTCTGAATTTTCACACTTTTTTGGAAAACAACTCATGTGCCACTCTCCTTTTGTTGCTGCCAATCGCAATACTTCAGTTTCTATGGATTTCATTTTTTTTGCTAACGATTT